TTTCAGTTTTTGTGGAATATTTTCTAAACGAGCGCTGAAATTTAATTTTTGAAAGCACCATTGAATTTCCCGTACAATTTCCGATCAAACGACCCTACATGTGATAGGGTTCTGAACAAAGGTTCTCTAAGAACACGTCTTATTCCGTATTATTATTTGAACTCCGAACCCTATGACATGTAGGCTTGTTTGATCGGAAATTTCGCGGAGAGTCCGATGGTGCTTTCGAAAAGTAAATCTCAGAGCTCCCCTAACAGAAAACGACTACCCTCTGAAGTCCCTTTTTTGAAATCCCTCAGATGACCCTTTCCGAAGTTCCTTGGAAGTTCCTAAAGGGAGCAAAAAAGGACTTAGGGATTTCATATTCCCTGGACGTTTGAAATCCCGCGGAAGTTCCTCCGACGCTCTGAGACAATCTTTGCTCCAGGCCGTTAGAGAGCTCTAACATGCCTATAAATACTAACAATAGGTGCCTATATACATATATATAGTATAGATACAGTCCCTCTGATGTCGTCTGGCGTGTTAAAAATTGCCTAGGAAGCCTCCTTCACTATGTTCTGTGAGTGATGCAAAATTTAAAATCACCGAGCAAAGGGACTTCGGAGGGATTTGACTTAAAAGGGATTTCTGAGGAATTACGATTCGCTTGAAATCCCGTTTTAGTCCCCCAAAAACTGAGGGACAACTTTGGAACATGAGAGGGACAAAGTAGGGACTTCGTTTTCTGTTAGGGTCGTTTAGAAAATCAAAACTGAAATGTGCACCGCTTTATCATCTGATGATAACATGCGTTATTACGCTGTTTTCAGTGAACTCTACACCACATACATGCATTTGGCTGTACAAATTTGTACGTGTCTCACTATGTTAATTTATATTCTCAGATTCGACCCGATCATGATTGACTATGACACGGTTGACACCTGGACACTAAATTGTCTATAACATAAACTTTACCCCCTCTTTGACGATAATTTCGACTTTGTACCAGGAAGCTAATTTACC